AGACCAGTCATCTGCCGACTCAACCAAAGAAGCAAAAAGTCGAGGACACGGCGACACCCGTTGACGAAACGAAACCACAATTAGTGCTCACGAGTAATGGTATTAACATTTTATCAAATACTGAGTCCAACACTTGATTCAAGAGACTATCAAAGAATGGTTTAATATTTATATTATATTTTGAAATATATTTATTATAATTATTACTATTATTCTGTCTCTTAAATGATATGAATTATTAATCGTTTTATTAATTCCTTTTCGCTATAATTTCATTATTTTCGTAATCCTTTGTTCGCTTCAAACTAAATATTAATTATTTTTAAGACATTTCTTTCGTATAAATATATTTTTTGATAAACACTTTGTAAACAAATTCATAACTCTTTTTAATTAATAAAAAAATATGAATTCTTTTTCAAAAATCGTATAAAAATGAGAATTTAATGTATAAAAGAATGAGAAAAAACAAAATCAGTTATAAAACAGAAAACAATGGTTAAAAATGTGTTGAATTGAGTGATTTTTGGGATAATTAAACAATATGTCATTAATATAGACCTAACTTTTGAACAATTGGTAACTATTGAGACTATTCTTCACAACAACACTATTGGTGTCATTCTTCGCAATAAGACAATTCGTGTCTTCCTCTCAGAAGTGATGGAAGCGACAGTTCTTTTAGTTTAAATTCAAATGAACTCCACTTTTGGTTTGCGAACTATCGATGAAAAAAGTTTTGAAAACACAATTTCATTATTCATTCAAAGGGTTTACCAATTGAGGAGTTTCTGCAAATTTGGTTTTATTGAATCCAACGCATCCGTTCACCACAACTAAGCCATACGATTGACATAATTTTTCGATATACTCTTCGGCTGTTTGTGCGTTACTCTCGAAGGGACACAACCATTGGCTGACTGTAGAGACGGGAAACTTAGTGTTTGGCGAATGGTATGCAAAACTCATGGTTTTGATGGCCATATGAAAGAGTTTGGGCAGTTTAGTGGAGGCCAATAGAGCTAGAATTGGCGGCTTAATGGCGGCCAACGTTTGTATGCACTGATAATAGAGGCGTTTGTCATAATTGAGTGCTAATCGATACGATTTGCGGACCAATCCATGCCTTTGAAGTCGTGAGGGAAGCGTTCCGTACCGTAAAAGAGCGTCATTAGAGCCTAAATTGTAAATCAAATAAATGGACTCAAATAGCGGCCTATTGTTGGCGCTGTCGGTGCCCTCCAATTGTTCGTATCGTTTAAGTAGTGATTGCAGGCATTCCCGCAGATGAGTGTCATTGATGTGTCGGTCGTAAAGCCGCACTTCTTCGGCGCCAAAGCTATCGATTGAACAAACAATTGATGAGTGAATGCAATCAAAGTTAATATCAAAATAATTTACTAGTAATCGGAATAAATGTGAAAACGAATGCATTGTTCCAATACTGTTAGGCATTGGATATCATCGGAGCACTGGATGGACATGTCCTGACGCACGGACCGCAACCGATCGAAGATGTAATCGTAGACCACATTCCAGGGGACACTGTCTCTGACGGCCACTCTATTCGTAATAAAGTTTGGGTTTAGAAAAGGTTTCAAAATTATCAAAACCATAATTACTTGGAGAGTAAGTAATCGCATGTTTTGACCAAAACCTTGATTGGTCTCAACTCTTCGGCCGATTGCATCGGTTGCCCAGCGCTCGACCGACTGAACTGTTTCACTACTTTTCGTTTGTCGGCTTTTGGCCGAAATCTAGAGACAAAGACAAAAAAGTGGATCAGAGAGGCGACAGCGGGAGTGTGTGTGCCGTACGGGTCGTTGTCTTTCTCGCGATTAGTCTTCTCCCGAAAAGTCCAAACCCACTCCGACTCACGCGTGATCTCAAACTCGTGTAATAATCCCTTCTCTTCACGCCTGAGGACAACACATGAAATACAAAACCTATGTTAAGACCGATCGGCCAATCGATTGGCGGATATAAATGGCATACCATTTGAGTTCATTTGGTGGACACATATCAAGACATGTGCCCACAATTGGTGCCCGTATTTGTGCGGTCATTGTGTCGGCGACTGTGGTGTCAATCAATTCAATGCAAATCACAATCGCTTTAATCACACATTTATTAATACTTTTCGTAAATAAACTCTACTTTTATTCAATTTTTAAAAGTGATGTAAACTATACTCACATATAGTGTGTCACGAGATGTGGGCGTGAAGTGAGACAACCCTTTAATTCATGCCATATATTGTCAATACAATCGTCACAATTAGGGGACAAATAATTCAATCAAATTATTATTTCTTTTATGGAATTTTCACAATAACTGTCACGTTATTTATGGAGCAAATGGTAGAAAAACCTCATGTTTTGCACAAATATTGAACACAACTATGGCTTCAAACGTAAGGCTTTTGTTTGATTTATAAATTGCTATTTAATTGATTGCCAATCGATTGGTTGCCAACAGATGACCACAAAAGTGCCGGAAAGCCGTGACCTGACCCGCATTGAGCGGATCGGCGCTCATTCACACATCAGGGGCTTAGGAGTGGACGAGTTGTTGCAACCAAAAGAGGTAATGCTTTATAACATGCGCTCATGTTTTGGGCCTTTTCTATGCATTCACTCAATGACTACTCGTGTGATAAATGGCCACTAATTGTACGGATTGTTTGACAGGTTTCGGAGGGAATGGTGGGCCAAATGACTGCCCGCCGATCGGCCGCTATTGTCACGCGAATGATCAAAGAGGGAAAGATCGCGGGCCGGGCTGTGCTGATAGCGGGCCAGCCCGGCACCGGCAAGACGGCCATCGCGATGGGCATATCGAAGGCCATATCGCGAGACACGCCGTTTGTGGCCATTTCTGGTTCGGAGATATTTTCGCTGGAAATGTCGAAAAGCGAAGCACTTATGCAGGCGTTTCGTCGCGCCATTTGTGTCCGCATCAAAGAGGAGACCGAAATCATTGAGGGAGAGGTCGTGGAGATACAAGTGGACAGACCGGCGACCGCCGGCACCGCCAACAAAGTGGGCAAACTTGTCATTAAGACGACCGAAATGGAGACGATCTATGATTTGGGACAAAAGATGATCGAATCGCTGACCAAAGAGAAGGTGAGCGCCGGAGACGTGATTACCATCGATAAGGCCACCGGAAAGATCACAAAACTGGGCCGCAGTTTCACTCGCGCTCGCGATTACGACGCTATGGGACCGCAGACTAAGTTCGTTCAGTGTCCCGACGGAGAGCTCCAGAAGCGCAAAGAAGTGGCACATTTGGTGACACTTCACGAGATAGATGTGATTAATTCACGAACGCAGGGCTTTTTGGCACTCTTTTCGGGCGACACCGGAGAGATCAAAGCCGAGGTCAGGGAACAGATCAACGCTAAAGTGAGCGAATGGAAAGAGGAGGGAAAGGCGGACATTATTCCGGGCGTATTGTTCATCGATGAGGTCCATATGCTGGACATCGAGTGCTTCTCATTCATCAATCGGGCCATTGAGTCAGACTTCGCGCCGATCCTCATAACGGCCACTAATCGGGGCATTACTCGCATTCGGGGCACGAATTATCAGTCGCCGCACGGAATACCGATCGATCTGTTGGACCGTTTGGTGATAATCTTGACGACTCCCTACTCTGAAAAGGAGATCCGAGAGATTCTGAAGATTCGCTGTTCCGAAGAAGACGTCGATATGAACGAAGAAGCGTTGATTGTGTTGACAAAGATTGCGACCAAGAGTTCGCTCCGGTATGCGCTTCAGTTGATAACGACTTCACATTTGGTGGCTTTGAAGCGAAAGGCCACTCAAGTGACACAAGAAGACATCCGTAGAGTGTATTCCCTGTTCTTAGACGAGGCCCGAAGTGAAGAGTTTCTCAAACAATACGAACAACACTTTATGTTTAACGAACTCAACGGTAATGGTGTGGCCGGCGATAAGGTCTCCCCCACTGAGAGCATGGAAACCACATAAACCACTACTTTATGTCATTTTTTCATATGATTTACAGTTATATTTTGGTTTTAAACCCATTGTGTATTCATTCAAACCTTCTGATCATTAAAATAAATCTCTTATTTTCAAAATATAAAACACTTAACTATTTGTCTAATTGTTTATCAAAATGAGTGATTGTTTTGAAGATAATGTATTAATAACACAACAATTGGTATAATTTATTTGCTATTTAAATAAAGTAATAAAATAATGACAAATGAATGAACGGACAAATGTGTGACCAAAAGGTGTATTAATAGCGATATTTAGTGGAGTAGTCTTTGGGAGAGACGACGAGACCCCTGCCCTTCCGGGCGCCCCTATAGATGGTCTCCAAGATGTCGATCATCTCCTGCTTGTCCTCGAGGGCCCAATTGATCTTATTGTTGTTTCCGGTGCCCAAATCGATCATAATGTGTTTGTTCCGGAAGAAGAACATGACAGTACACGGATCGTACAACTCGTACATCTTGTTGAAGTCGGGCACTTCCGTGATGTCCACCAAATAGATCACTCCGTAGTTCTTCACCTTCTCTGCGATGCCGTACAACACTTCGTCCATTTTCATACACGTCGGGTCCCAGTCGTGGCCGAACCG